CTCTCCGGGGCCAATCACCTCCGTTCTGCGGGGCCGGTCTGCCTCTGCTCTGCGGGGCTGGTCACCTCCACTCTCGGGGACGCTCTGCCTCCGTTTCTCGGGGCCGCTCCACCTCGGCTCTCGGGGCCGGTCCAGCCGGCTTCTCTCCGCGTACTCCCCCGGGGCTGCTGGGGCCGGCACCTCTCCGTCTCAGCTCGTGGACCCTGAACGCTGCTGTATTTGGTGTTTCTCCGGGTCCGTTCTCAAATTCCTCGGTCGTTGCTGTTTTTTTTCTGGGTCCGCCGCTCCGTCTGTGTTATTCTTCTATGCAGGTCCCTGTTCGGGCGCCATCTTGCGGAGCCGCGGACGAACGACACGCCGAGACGGGTTCAGTGTGGGTGATAGAGCATCAATCTAGGTGTGTCTTTATTGGTCCAGGGTACATATATTTATATAGACAATGATAATTATTATGCCTACTAGTCACTAGCTGATTGGCTTAAGCTCTAAAGGTCGTATTCGCACGGTCCACCTACTTGCAGTTAGCTAACAGCACAAGCTTCTCATAACACTAAGTTTCTCATGCTACTATTTCTGATTCCTGTTGACTTGTTTTCAATACACGACAGTACCGTAACACAATGTTTCTCAGACCACCGTTATCGTAACACTAGGTTTCTCAGACCACTATTCCTAATTCCTCTTAACCTGCTTTCGACACACCACGGTACACAGGGCTGAAGCGTCCTTGACATTCCTCCTGTATCAGCAGCTGCAGGCAAACCCTAGTGAGGCTCAGCATCAGCAGCTAGAGCAGGCTCTGATCATACAATTGCTCAGTGGGCTCAGGACCCTTGTCTCTGAGCCATTCTCCAACAATTCCCCCTTTTTCTTTTTGTATGAGCAGAGCCTGCGCTAACGTTCATTCAAAGATTTTCTTAATACATGACAAGGCACAACTGAGGCATGCAGGCTTACAATCTACTGGCTAAAGGCACAGGACCCTTGTCTCTGAGCCATTCTCCAACAACCTACCTTCCTGTGTGTGTGTTTGTTTGTTTTAATACAGCCTATATATAAAAATCTATAGATTTATTTAAAGCTGAACGTTGATCTTTTTGTGCTGTCATTAATTTGCAGAGAAAACTCAGTATAAATAAATAATCACCAATGGGCAAGATTTTGGCATGCTTCCAACTGTTCACCTTAAAAAAGAACCCTGAGCCTAAACATGAAGACAAAATTTGTCATAACTGTTTAGGTTTTGTTGGAGAACACAGTTTTCCATCATTAAAATCCCTTCAAGGGCTTCATTTCCCACTTTTTTATCTTATTGATCATCTGGATAGCTGAAAACTGAATAAAATTAAAAATGAAAAGGGCTTTTCTGAATCATAAATCCTAAAACAGATTATATAGTTAGATAGCTTATTGCATATAGTATCTAAAATATTACCATAGGAAGAGCTGTGGTTTTTTTTTTTCCAGTTTAAAAATACGATTAGCTAAATACAGAAAAGCACAGCTCTAGTAATTAAAGCCTGGTGATTTTTTTCTTTTGACTGAATATTAATGGCATATATTGCTGTATATTTGAGCACAGCTGAATGTTTCAAACAAAATATTGCTGGTTTATTTTGCTATAGTCAGAAATACCAGTGCAAACTTGTACTGAATTAGAGCCATTAGGCAGGAATACCAACTACACCATCATCCACAGATGAACCATAGTGCTAGCTGGCTAAAATGAAAACAGTGACAGTGAGCCCCAGACAGGGTGGGTATTGCCATTGGCAGAGAAAATTTGACTGGATTTCAGGATTCCTGGATTACAGGGAATCCACACAGTCATTGCTGAATACCCAGGAAAACCTCCTCTCTTCCAGCACCTCTGAAGCTTGTTCATGTGTCCACTCTCTGCTCTTCTCTAGAGTCTTCCCACCTTGACTATTAAGGGTTTCATCTCCTAATCAGAATTTATAAGAAACTACAATATAAAATATTTACTACAACAGTAGGAACTAAAGACCAGTATGCAGCTTTATAGCCCTACATTGCTTTAGTGCTTCATGGATTGGTAATGATATTATTCTTTCCCTATTTTATTCTTAAACATTGTAACTGAATTTTGGGTTACATTCACACATCAAAATTACAAGGTTCTGATCTGATGTAGCAGATGTTATGTTGTTAACTTCAGAATAATTTTGTCAATGTATATCAGCAGACTATGTAATCTAGCACTCATTAATAGCCACTGAATGAGTCAGTGCCTTTTACAGGAAGATTTGATCACACAAGATTAACTGTATTTTGCTAGTTTTTGTAGTTTTCTTCAGTGCATAACTCGACCAGATGTTATCTTTCTAAATTCTCCATTATGTGTTAAACTCTTGTACTTTTTTGGTATTTGTTAATCTAGTCCTTCTTCCATGTCTGTAATAAGCAAAACATCTGTTCCTTCTTGTTCAATCAAAGTGCTTACCTCAAGAGTCCTACTTTTAAAATAATGTCATTTAAATAGAAATCCTAGATGGAGAGAATGCATTTTGTTAACATATTTAATTTGCATATGAAACCAGCTTTTCCAGAACTCAGCAGGGAATTTGTAGTGGCAGCAGTATGTTTCTTTTATTTCTCAACTTGTATACCAGAAAGTTACAGTAGAAAAAAAAAAAAAAAAAAAAGAATGCAGATAAATATATTGATCATCTTAGATGAGAGAAATCAAACTGCAATGAGAAGTCATTGTTGTGCATTTGGGATGTTCTCCATTCTAAACATTCCAGCTGAAAATTCTTTGAATAGAGCTATATTCTAGCCTTAATACTCAGTCTTGGTTTATGGAAAGATCTGTTAAGCTTGACTTTTTTTAAGTTCAAACAGAAATAATTCCTCAATATATATGAGGTATGTAATAAAATATTAAAATAAAATTAACTCATGCAGCTGTACAAACTTACACCCTATAGTAGAATATACCATGTATCCCAATAACAATGTAAGTCCCTGGAACAGAGCATTACCCCATTAAGCAAGGAAGGTTGACACTACTACCTCTAAAACATGTGTAAGTAAAAAGCAGATAAAAAGAGTGGCAGAGATAGAAGGTGCTGAGGAGCACAGTTCTGTAAAGACAACAGTGAGCACTTGCTGAGTGATAGTGAGCAATCCTCATCAGCATTCATAAGTAAATTCCACAGTAAAATGTAGCAGTAAAAGGTTTGCTAAACAAACATAAAATTGCACTTGAATTTTTGTGTCAACTTTGTACCAGAACAGTTGAGAATGTTACTGTCATACTATAGAGATCCATAGGGATGGTTAATACCTGTAGCTAAGAGGACAACAGACTTAACTCGTGTTCATTTTGTAGTTAATACAGTGAAGAGTTCATAAAGCAGAAACAGTGTGATTTTTCAGGAATGCACAGGAACAATGCCAACTTGTAGAAGCAAATATGCTTTAATATGGGCAAAATACAAGGGCATTTTAAGTATTTTCTGATAAACTTCAGTTGCAGTAACACATACTGTAACAATTTTTGTTTGGAAGTCTATAAAAAGGTGTATCTTCCTTTCTGAGTGTATTATCAGTAGAAATTCATTTTATCTGGGTTTTAATTATGTGGGTTTCTTTTTCTTCTTTGTTTGTCAAATGTAATGAAAGTGAAAAAAGAGCTTATAAATTAAGAAAACTTTTCTCATGTTTAGTATATTAGGTTTTTCATCTACTCTTACACCAGATTGAACAAGCTTTGGTAGAAACATTTCTTACTGATACATTTTTTAAGAGGCTTCTGAGTCTTTTATTCACACTGATGAATATTCCAAGAGTATTCTAAGGTATAATGCTCCATGTTATTTCAGGACTTGATCTTGTATCTTAGACAAATATGTGGAAGCAGTGGGAAAAAAATATTAATTAAATGTTGAGATATATCTGTTTGCCATTAATATTATTCCTTGTTCATAGAAGATAACATTCTTTTGAATATATGGAAAGTTTATCTTTCATGATACTTCTACTGATATTGTGTATTCCCCCTAATTTTAGAAACAGCTTATTGTATTGCTCTGTGGTTTATTCTGGCAAATGACATTTTGGTAAGGTGACTTAGCACCTTTATCTAGGTGGAGAAAACATCATGCCTAAGAGGTGTTATAATTTGGAATTTGCTTTTAGTAGAGTGTTTGCTACTTACTTGTCGACTCAACATAACTTGCCTACACAGTAATGACCAGAACAAACACTCTTTCACAGTTCTTCAATGACAGCTTATCATGTCAGGCAAGCTGTCCTCCTGCCAGATGCTACAGGAAGTACAAGAAGTATATAAATTCTGCTTTCGTTTTAAAAGATCTGGGTGAATGAACATATCCATATGCTTCACTGCTGTCAGTATTGGGAGGATGGTGCTCCCCTAAGATTATGGGTTTTGGCAGACATTTGCTGATTTTGCAGTGCCTCTGTGATGATGTCTTCATCTTTGGTGACTAGCCTCACACCACAATGACAGGATTAGTTGTGAGCTCACCTTCCACATGAGCCTTTCTCCTTCCTATTATTGATTTCCATTTTCTTGGAAATATCTAGCTTTTTAAAAAGGCAGCAATCACAAGCATAATGTGCCCTTTGGGCTTGTTACTATATTTAAATGGATTAATTAGTATTTTTCTTTCCGAACTTGATCATAGAAATAGTTAAGACATTCTTTACTACTAACTTGTGGCATATGGCCTTTTGATGGGAAAGGTGAGTGATAATATCTGTAGTTAGATACAATTATACCTGAAAATGTGGACTCCTTGGTAGTTCCAAGACTTGTATTTATGATATAATGTTATTTTTTTTTGTAATATTTACTTTAATAACAATTCCTTGTTATCACACCAAAATGATTTCATTTCTGCAATAGCCTTCATTAAAGCTTGCATAATGAGCCTGAGACACACAAAACACTTAAAGATAATAAATACTGGACTAAGTAAAATGTTCCAATGTTTTTTTGTTCTTCATAGGCTCTGGTCTCAGTGACAGGCAGTGGCATGAAGTGCGATTCCTAGCTAAGGAAAATTTTGCCGTCCTCACCATTGATGGCGATGAAGCTTCAGCTGTTCGAACAAACAGCCCTCTACAAGTTAAGACTGGAGAGAAATATTTATTTGGAGGTAAAAAAATATCAAAACAAGTACCTGCTTAAAGTGCTGTTCTCTTTTAATCTACTTAATAGGTGAAATGGAGATCAGGATGTAATTAATTCACGTAGGTCTTAATATGTCTAAAATGGCTGGGTGCTGCTCATCAAAACATAAAACACTAAACTTTATTTCACTTTTAAGAATCTTTCTACACCTCCTCATCCTTGCAAAAGAAACTCTGAGAAGTTCTGTAACAAGAGTCAATCTAGCTTGCAATGATTTCTCAGATCTCTGAACTGAAAGGGGAACCTCCCATTAGTAGTTCAATTATATGAACTGAGAAGAGGGATAAACTTTATCTTTTAATGTTTGGAATCCTGAGAACAAAAACATCTGGTCTTAACTTTTTGCTGATTTCTTTAACAGCTGTCATGACTATGGGTAATTAAGAAGCTCTTATAAATTGAAGCCTTAGATTGTTCAGTATTTCTATCTGTTGGCAGTCCATATAATCAAGAGTTCTTGCAAATTGTAGCTTTAATATTTATTCCTCTTGCTCTTCTATGTTAGCATTTTTGAAAATGAAAAAAAGGCCATCAAAACTCTTGGATTTTTAAAATATATATTTAAATTTCTATAGTAAAGAAAAATATTTAGCATGCCAAGAATATTTTTGTTACACTACTAACTTAAGGGGGAAGGTTGTTAAGTGTTTTTTAACTTAGATGTATTACTTTTTGTAGTGCTAGACAGGTTTTTTAAAAAGCATCCAATGCAACAATGACCTGCAATCTTGGGCAGTATTCTCAGCAAGCTCAAATGTGCTAAGATCAAAAAATGAGTTGTAAATTGTACTTTTGAAGTATCTCACGCATGTGAAGTTGCATCTGAAAGCTTCAGGCAGAAAATAAAAATTTTAAATGTAGAATTTATCAGTATTGAAAACTGTTTGTTTTTTCTTTTTTTCCCAAACTCACAAGGTGAATATCTAATCAAAATAAAATATAACTGTGATGCTATAATTAGTAATAATATTACATCTTTTCCAATATCCTTAATTCAGCTAATATCCTGAATAGGGTTTTTTAGCATATTGCTTCAAATAAGAGTTCTAGCATAGCCAGTTGCCACATGCTAAAGCATGAAGATTATTCTGTTGTCAAAATATAGTACCTTCAATTTGTCAGAACAGTCTGAGACATTCTCAATAAGTTATTAAGCACACATAGGAGAAAATGAAAATAAATGCCATACATAATACATCCAGTGTTAAGTTCTGTTAATTTTGATAAGTAAAACCCCCAGACCATTATTACATTTCTGGAGAAAGATTGATTGATTTCTTCTGAAATGCCTTTTACCTCTGACTCTTTGATTGCAAGGGACAAATTGTTTAATTTCTCCAGGTCGTTTTTATACCCTTTGTCAATCAAAATATTGGTTGATTTCTTGTTATTTCAGTTGTATTCTGAAATCTGTTTGATCTGTAATTGTTGACCTGTATTTTATAATTCTACCTTCCTTCCATAAAAAAAGTGTGCATGCAGATATTGTTCCAATGGGGTATGAAAGTCAATCATGAATTCACTGAAGTGTTTTTCCGAGATCTGTTCACCCAAATATATGGTCCCATTGTGTAAATTATGGTAAATTTTTTCCTTATTATCTTTTATAATCTGAAAGCTCTTCTAAAGCTATATCAAAACTCTAGCACTGTCCTCACCTTCATGTCCAATTTTATTTCAAAATAAGACGTCTGCATTTGCAACACTGTGCTTTTATGTTTTAGTTGACTGTAGCTGTGAATCTGACAAAGCTTTATTTCTGAGTTGGATCTGAGGAATGGATTTATTTTAGTATGCTCTCACATAAATATTGCTATATATATATATGCTAGTTATTTTGCTATATATATCTGTTAACTAAAGATACTTGCAATTTAAAGACAGTCTTTTGGATACATATTAGAAACCAAATTTTTATACTCATGATCTGCATCTTATGAGGCAAATGTATTTTTGTTGTATTCCCTCTACACATATGTGTTCCTCCTTATTTTTCTTCATAAGCATTCCAAGTTATGGCTGTTAATAAGTAACATTTGCAAGAAGAGGATGTAGAGGTGAGAATAGTGGGGAACTTCAAACCTTTGCACCGCTTGGTAATTGTCATCAAAGGAGATGTTCTCATTAGTTTCATTAGGAGTAAGCTCAGATAAGAAAGTGTCAAATATTCTTTTTCTGCGAATATGTATAATTGGTTAGGAAAGGGACAACTGCCTCTTGAATTCAGAGGGTAGAAATTTGGGGTTTTTTGCAAACTGCTAGGTGGCTAGCAGAAAGAATTATCAATCTCTGATGATAAATTTTAAATGTGAAAAGGAATCCAGTAGATTTCTTTGCTAGAGGTCTGAATACAATAGTTACAGATATTTTGTATATCAAACCTTTGTATTATTAAAATTCAAACATACATCACAGATGCAGAAGTTAAATGATCAGTTTTAAAGATCAATGTTGTGATATTAATCCTATCCCACTGCCATATTTCTTGATCTTGCAAAACACTGAGAAAGCGCAGTCCATTGAATTAGTGTTTGTAGCATTTCTAGAAGTCTCTGAACACTCTTCTGATTTAAATTTTCCCATTTCATCTTTGAAAGAGATACCACACGTATGCAAATATTTTGTTCTCCAAACTTTACCTTTCCCTAATTTCAAAATAAGTATGTGTCTCTGTATTCTGGTCTCCTGGTGTCAATATAGCAAATAGATACTATAGGCAATGGTGTTGTCTTTACTGAAGAAAAGGTGTAAAGGTTGCATTTCACTGCTGCAGTGCAATATTTTCTCAAAAATATACTGGAGAATTTAAAGAGAAAAATAATTATGGTAAAATGGGTACTGCTTCAAAGTATTAAGGCAGACACTTGATAGAGCTTTTATGTGAAAATAACTACAGCTTTTATTGTAAGATGATTACCACATATTTGAATGTGAATTTTTGAGACAGTGTCTGTTTTTAAGGAAAATTATAATTTTCATATGTTGTTGTCATAACTTTGCACTGGATATATCCCATAATATTAGTTTTATTATAAAGTAGACAATCTATCAAAATTGGAAATGGATTAAAGATTGAGTGGGCAAGAAGAACCAAATGTATGCCAAATGTAATGATGAAAATTCCAGACATATTGGAAATATTAAACTGACTTTTACAAAGATTGGTTTGCAGTGATATCTGAAAAAGTCCGTAATATTATTCGCAGTATTTTGATTAGAATTTGATTATGACTCAGTCCGTTATAACTACATAAATAATAGGGGGAATGCAGAGACTTTAGACAGTTGTGTGTTTATTCCTGACATCAGAAAATTTGGCACAGGCAGGAACAAGCCTGAGTCAGAGTGTTCCCTCCCTCTTCTGTACAGGCAAACGGGTACAATAAGAGCCAGTTAAACACTGTGTGGACACTGAAGGCCTTAACTAAAGAATAACTTGCTTAGACACCGAATGGTATGCTAGGCCTCGAAAGTCAGCCTCGCTGTCTAGCAGCAGCCTCCAACTACCAATTTGTAAAAGTTGGCTTTTTAGAGAAGCCAGACCTGATTGACACTCAGTTTCCGTCAAACTAGTTCCTAAATATATTCTGGTTATTCCTTAGTTTATTCATTCATTTGAATAGAAATGCTCATCACTGACCACCAAATCCAGAGATTTACATCATGTACAGCAATATTTGAATAACGGAGATGTGGAAATTGGAATCTTTTGTGACTTCTGCTCATAGGACTGACTTTTCTAGTTTTGAAAAATCATAAGTAAACCATAAAAATAAATAATGAAGACTCTTTATTTCTCTGTTAGAGAATAAATTATGCTCAGTACTGTTATATTTGTGGGGTTTTTTCTTCCTTTGTGCCTAGCCTGTACTGTCTCCCAGTACTACTAAGATTCTCCCAAAGGACAGACAGCAATGATGTTTTATTCAAGCCTAAGAGTTAGGGGAAGCTGTAGATCAGGCATTTCTGTAGACTGCATGAATGAGTGCTGGTGTATGTGGGAGTGTGGGTGCTAATTGCCTATTGCCCTTCTGTATAACTATTCTTCTCTTCCCACTGGTTTTATATTCCTTCTCTTCCTTGTCTTGAATTTGGATTTTTGGAAAGAAGTGAACTTCCTTTCCCTACTAAGCTCTAGAGAATGATGTTTCTTTGTTGTTTCCAATTATCTGCATAAAACAGAAAAGAAGAACAGAGAATTACAGAGTGAAAATGAGTCCATTAACCTTATTTGCACTTTTGGAGATAAAGGGCTTTTGTGAGGCATCTTAAGCTTGCACCAAAACACCTAATAGCTGCCTAGTGTCCAGGAGGAAATATTTGATTAGAGATGTAATTTTGACTCGTTTCTATTTTACAGCATTTCTTTTTAATTGTGTTTATTTTCCCTTTCATTTTCACCGGTTTAAGGATGGGGGAGTTTTTAGTATGAGTGATAAATCTTCACTGAGAACAAAGGTATGCAGTGAGCATCTGTCAATCCACTGTGTGCTGCTTTTTCTGACAAGCAAAGATGAATGGCCTATGCAGTAAGTTTCCTGTGGGACACCCATCTATGGCATATAGAAAATCCTTCTTTTCTCTACAACTATACAAACGCACTCTGTATCACATCTTGCTCCTGTAATAGAATTAATTTGTTTCTGAAAGTTGTGTTGGGCTAAAATCCCATAGAATTAGAAGTGGCAGAAGGAGGTGGGAGGAAGGAAGTCAAGCGAAAGAGAAAAAATGCCTTCCTTATATTTATATGTTCTCTGCTCTTCCATGTGGGAATCTTCCCTTCTTAAAACCTGTAGTCTACAACCAAAGCCTTTGAACGGTGTGCTTACATTTTTTTATCAAGTTATCCATTGTTATCATTGTGCAAACATGGTCATTAACAGCTGTTATAGTCAGGCTCAGACTTCCTAGGTAGTGTCACTGGGATCTCAAAAGTACTCAGGCTATCGTAAGTTCAAGTATTAT